CATAGAAACTAGACACAGGCAGACCTGGATACCCAGAGAGGACAGGCTCAGTGACCACAGCCTGACCATAGAAACAGGACACAGGCAGACCTGGATAGCCAGGACAGTCTCACTGACCATCTTGATTCTTATTTAGGGTGGGAGAGGTCTTAGGTTCAAATCCTGGGTGAGCCTGTTTGCTTGAGGCAGCACTGTGCAGCAGTGGTCAGGCTTCTGGACTGCAGCTGTAGGGGTGTGTGTTCAAATATCAGATGAGACACTACTGCTGCACCCCTGAGCAACTGGAGTCTGTTCCAGCCAAACACCCAGCTGTGTAAATGGGTAAACATGTAGGTGGGCTCTGGTTAACAGCACCAGCCAAATAAATGAGTAAGATTAGTAGATTTACTAATAATCGCAACTCCTTGTCCCTCCCTGGATGTCGGAAGAGATGTGAAAGAATCTGGGGGAGAGAACGATGTAGAAAGAGGCAGACAGATCACACGTACCCGATTCCCGTCACTCTGGTGAGGAAGTTAATGGAGGTGCTGGTGTCGTCACTACGGATCTGGAAAAGTTGAGCAGGGATTAACGAGGGAATGTGACCGCGATGCTTCAACATCCCAGCCAATGTGCTCCTGTGACCATCGGGAGAGAAGGCCACCGCAGTCTCTGGTCATAAGCGTGTAGTAAGGTGGTCCAGCCCTCCGACCGGAGGATTCAGAGTCTCTGATGAGCCTGCCCTCGACAGCCATGGGGTGAACATGCAAACTCCACACATACAGCCACCAAAGGCCAGAATCCTACTCAGGAGGTGCAAGGCTTCATTTCTAGACCCTACTCCACTGGGCTAACCTCATTATTATTAGAAAAATAATGTCACAATGAGAGAAGACCCAGGTGCTGCGCAAGTACAGGGGAGCGCTAGAGATGGTCAGCGCTCATGGAAATCATCATCATCACAGTTGCACAGTCGTGTTTGTGGGTTTACAAAGAGCACATCTGCACAGTCTGCCGCTGTGAGAATTACCCCTGCTGGTCCAGACAGCGCCAGAATCTTGTGGGAAGGCCTGAGCTCTCCTAAAGACACGCCTGGTGACTCCACGCTGGGTGGGTATGTAACAAGACATAAGAGGGGGTGCTCAGCGTGGGGGGTGAGGGGCCCCCCTCTCTCCCTCTCACCTTCTCCAGTTTGCGCAGCTTCCCCGTGGCCAGGAACTCGTCGATCTTCTCCGCGATCTTCGTGCCCACGCCCTCCTGCCACCGAACACAAGCACACGCGCGCACAGGGCGCTGTCAGTCGCTCACGAGCAAGGAGGACAGCGCAAACAGAAGGCAGGGGGTAACAGAGCCAGGGGGGAGAGAGAAGAGAGAGGCGAGGGAGAGGAGGCAAGCCGAGGCAGGCTCTCACCAGCTTCTTGGCCTCGCTGCCACTCTTGATCTTCTGGGGATATTTGGAAATGACGGAGGCAGCTTTCCTGGGGAAGGCAGAGGGCATGATAATTAATACCCCACTGGCCAGACACACCCCAACAGACTATAAACCACCCAAACGCCCACCTGGACCTACTATATCCCAACTGACCCCGAACCAGCCACACAGCTTCATCTTACAGCACCAAGCCAAAAGCCATCTAACTGACCCCCCAGCTCTCCAACAGACCACAATCCAAACCAACTGCTCCCCTCAGTGTGTCTCATGGAGCAGTACAGCTGCTCCTCTCAGTTCTCACCTGTAGGCATTGTACTTGTGGATCGCTCTGTTCACATTCCTTTCATAATTGGCCAGCTCTAGCGAGAAAGGGGGAGAGGAAAGGGAAGAAGGCAGAGTGATGGAAAAGGGAAAAATACAAATTATGATTCCAGTTTAAAAAAATATAGACAATTATGTCATGCTGATCACTGTACTTTAAAACAGATGTGCACATGCACAAATTTGTATATTTATGTTAATTTAATATCTGGAATATTCACAGTAATAGTTAATTGAGGAAATGATACTAATTTTTAAGACAAAAAGACTGATACTTAGGGATCTTTGCCGAGCTGCTTTCTGATTGGCCAACAATAATTTTCATCAGCCAATCAGGACAAGGAATACGTCTCTTTAAAGAAAAGTGTTCGCATTACGTTTTTATCAGCTTTAAAGAGGATTTCGTGAAAACAGGGTATTTTATTTCAGCGATAACACATACAGCCGAGACCTGCACACAATATTCTTTCGGAACTCTAGAAAGTTATCCTAAGAGCTATTTAAACGGAGTAACTACAGCGGGAAACACGATCCCTGGCCGACAGAAATGGCCCTGTCTAATTTTACCTCGACTACTGGCGATTGGGCACCACTAACTTTTACCGTGGAACATGACCAAATAATCACTACATTATCACGAATATTGGGTTTATTTAAATATAAACAGTGCCGACAATTACCATTCTTTAATATATTTAAGATGGATTAAACTCCAATGCGACCCAGGCAAAAACAAAGCCACCCTCGATCTATCCAGCAAATACTTCAAGCTGTCATTTATGATAAAATACTACGTTACGTACTGTAAAAAGACAGTTAAAATGGACAGTGGATTCAGAATGTTCATGCGTAATCTTCTTATGAGACGGACAGCATTAACACTGTGACAGCCCTTAAAATTATTAAAATGTAGTCAACAGTGCGCTCGACGAACTCATACCTATGAGAAAGTCGGTGATTCCCTCATTTAGGCTTTCTTGCGGGGCCTTCCTTTTGCTCATCTTGACGAGAAAGTTAAGAAATCCTTCTCTCTCTACTAACTGGGCGGTAATCGGTTTAAAACCAGGTAAACGGGATCTAAACTGAGGACCAACACGGCTCTGCCCACCAGCTCAGACAATGGACACACAAATCGGTGCAGACGCCACGCAGCAGCGCACGATGATGACGACATGACGCAGCCCCGACGTATCCATTTTTTTAAAATGTCTATTAAATGTAAAAAGAATGTACAAAAACAAATACAACTACAGGAGCAGAAACAGATAAGAGGATAAGAGAAAAAAAAACACATAAACAGAAAAAACAATTAACTGACAGAGATAATTAGGTTAATTATTTATGTGACCGCATTATATTTTTTACATGCAGTATATCACGTTTTCCTTCCTTTAGCATTTTTTCAAAATTTTATAAAATTTAAATTATGTTTCAACTCCATCTCAAAAGTACTAAAAAAGGGAGTATTATTGGACCATTGTGATTTATGAATATGAAATTTACCCTGAATGACTAGTAAATCTATTATAAATGCTCTTTTTCCAAATTTCCTTACACAGTACAACAAAATATCAAAATCCTTAAATCTGAAAAACACCTTTAAATGCCTGCAAACAAAATTCATTAGATCCATTAGAAACAACTTCACAAACATACACCTAACAGATAAATGCACCAAAGACTCCCCTTCAGCCCGATGAAAACACACACAAACCATCCCGCTCATGCTTAAAATTAGAGACTACTAATTTAACTGGATAAAACTTGTGAACAATTTTAAACGATATCTCTTTAACTTTATGTGTAATACAATATCTATCAGGAGTTGTCCAAATTGATTTCCATTTTCAAACATTGTATTCCAAAAAGATAAACAAGGAGGGATGAAATTGTGTTTACAAAGTTACCTTATATGGTTATTATTACATTTCTTATCCTTTATTTCCACCCCATCCGAGAATAAATCAGTTGTAAAACCAGAAAGGAAGTCAATCCTAATAGAGTTTTGGTTTCCTTTTAACACCTTCACTACAACGTCTGGAATAGCATAAAAAATGATTGCATATTCCTTAGGGGTAACAGGAAACTGAAATCTTTCCAGGAATTCAGGATAAGTAAACAATCTACCATCTTCGTTCAACAGTTGAGCCACTAAATAAATGTTGTTGTTATACCAGGTCTGTAAATAAAAAAAAAGCTTTTATTTTTATGCTTAATGTCTTTATTATTCCAAATATGTATGCAGTGAAAAATTAAAGTCCGAGATAATACCTGTTTATGAAAATTAGATAACTTAATTGGGATTTTTTATATCAAAGTTACATTTTAACAAAAAATCAAAATCACCAACATTCTGAAAAAATATTTTGAAAAAGATTCCATATATTATATTATTAATATAATTCCTAATCCAATTTTAAATGTTATATTTGACGTATAAAAGTCCATAACATTCACGCCACCTTGACTTTTAGGTGAGGTATATTCTTCCAAATAAAGTTATATACGTTTGTCAAACTTATTTGTTTCATTGAAAGCGAAGCATATACAAAGTTCAATTTACATATTTCATCTTGGTCTTTACAGATTATAATACCCAGATAATTAAACACTTTCTTTACAGGTATATTAACTATTGCATCTAACTTAAAATCCTTAAGAGAAAACAGTTCACATTTGTCAATATTCAAAGACAATCCTGAGACTGATGAGAACACATTTAAAACCTCAATTGCTTTAGAGACCTCTTTACAATTCTTAAGAAAAATAGTAGTATTGTCCGCTAGCTGACGACATCTTTAACATGAGGGCAAAGAGCATGGCAGCGCTGAAGGAAATGACTAGATTTAATACAGTTGGAATTGAAGGTCTTAAAAAATCCATGGATTTTGTGTATAAAGAGATTGAGGACATAAAGAACAAAGTAAAAGTTCTTAAACGAGTAAATACTGAACAAGAAAAGCAGATTAAAGTGTTGAATTGAAAGTGAATGAAGCTTCTGCATGACATAACCACTATGCTTAAGCACAGACAGAACTGACATATTGGAAAGTTTGAGAAATCAAGATTTCCCACAAATCAAACATGTATAATTTATTAACGGACGTTAATTTGATGCAATGTACTTACAAGGCTACAAATACTTACCCAAATATATAAATATAAATCTTGTACACAAATACTTGAAAGATCATTATCTTTACAACGTTAAAGAAAATCTCATATTTACAGTGACAGAAGAATGCAGGACGTTGTAAATTGTATTACACTATGACAAGAGAAGCCTCCCTTTTCACCACACACGTTGAACAAAGTAAGATGACAACAGGGTGAACATAAGATCATTCCCACACAAAATCACACGCTTTGTTTCCAGTGCTGAAAATGAATTTGTATTCCACCAAACACCTTGAAAAGCCTGTAAACAGCAGGGCTCCAGACAACATGTTAATGGAAACATACAACAGCCTTTTAATAGCATTTCAACTGTGTGGGTTCATGTACAGTATTTACTGTATATAGTTTTTATACAATAATGCGCTTAAAAATACTTCCAGTTATACTTTGCTAATAAAATGGATATATACAGGATAACACGTGACTACAGTTCACATCTGAACTGTGAATAATGCTTAATGTTGTGTATATTTGGAAATTATTTCAAAATAAAAACTACACATCCACAGACACACTTGCTTTTGCAAAGGGGGTCAAAGGCCATACTGGGAGTAAAAGTAAAACATATTTAGAAAATGAAGTGAGACTGACCTCACTCTTTACAGCAAGAAATCTTACAGGGTGCTAAATATGATTCGTGTTATCTGTATCTTCTCCATATCCAGAACACCATATAGGGTGTTAAATATGTGCTTCTTAAACTGCTGTAGTAACAGGTAGGAAAATGTAACCGTATATCCTTCCTGCTCTTGAGGACATTTCCATTACACACACTGCCTTGATAACAAGGGTGTTGCTGGGTGAGTCTTGCCAATTTTACTAGGCTTTTCGAGAGGAATTCTGGGGTTCTCATCGCCACCTGTTTGCTGGCATTTTTTAATCAAATCCACACTTTTAAACCAATTTCTGCCAATAGTTAATTTACACAAACTTGTAAATATATTATTCACCCAGTAAATGTCCTGCTCTTTCATGTTTTGGGGTGCCCCCTGGGCACAAAGACCCAGTAGAGCTGCCTGCCCAGCTTTATCCTGAGTATACCGACATCGGGGTCTCCTGGTCTCTCCTGCCCTCCCAGGATTAGGTGTCAACCCGGATGTAGACTTTGGGCCGAGAGAAGATTTTGATGGCTTCCTCCACCTCGGACAGCTTCCTGTCGAGCTCGGTGCGCCGTGTCTGCACACTGAGGGTGTCGGCACGCACTGGGAGAGACAGCAGCTCCTTCACAAGAGAGCGCTGAGCTGCAGAGGGCAGATGGGCAAGAGAGCAGGAAGGAAGTGAACAGAGCCAGTGTGGGAGAATGAAGCGCACGTTTACAGAGGGAGAGAGTGAAGGGAGGAGAGAGAACGTAGAAGAGAACATTTAAAGAGCAACAGAAAAGGGACAGATAGGAAGGAGAGGACAAGAGAGAAAACGTACATCATCATTACAGGTCACTCTGACAGTGGTAACTACTGCAAAACCATAAGACAGAGTGCCATTTATACTGTAAGTGTGATAGTAGCTTATTGATCCAAGCATTGCGTCTAATAGCTACATATATGTGGAGTAAGTGACTCTCCAGTCTGTCAGATGAATCTAATCTGCTAGATTAATTCAGTTCTCAGTGAGGGGGCCCTAGTGTTCAGTACAGTGAGGTGAGAGGGGTTGTCTCTCTCTGAGGGAGTCCTAGTGTTCAGTACA